ATAAATGTCAAATGTCTTTTGACGTGAACAAGACTTACTGTAAATGCGTTAACGTCACATTATATTTCAAATTAGTTCGTTGGAACAAAAAAAAACATGATTGTCTCTTTTTTTGAACAATGCTTTAAACTTTGTCAATTTTCTTTTTACCCAGACAGTTATCTCTACTTTTTGTTTTGTTTCAGCCTCCCATCGAACTTTCCTTTTCAAATAATAATAATTATAATACTTAATACGTATAATCTGATTTATTTCAGATCGACTCGGCAGTAATTCTAGTATGCTGCATTACCAGACCAAGAATTAAGTATAAATCTGTCATGCCTATTTAGGAAACTTGGAAGCGTTTAGGATAGAATATTTTGGGAAACTGTTCTTCCATCTGAGTAAATTTCATGAATGAGATTGATATGCTGTTACGGCGTTCCTCACAATTGTTCAACTTCCGACTCAGTTTCCTTATTTTCGAAGGTTTAAATCTACATATGCCAAAATTAATATCCAAATCATCCGATATTATTCAACTACTGCAGAATATTCTCGTCATACAGATATTATAATTTATCATCTAATTTCATTTTAGAAGTGATATATTGGAAAAGGAGAATAAAATATTAAATTATTAAACACAAAATATGTAAAATAGATGGCAGAAGAAAAATATGGGAGAATAGTTTTGAATGTGTAGTATGCGATTTAAGAAAAAAAAAATACCAGACATTTATAATGTCCATCAGGAAACGGCGTTCTGTAGTTATTCCAATATGTACTGGGTTTACCCTAAGAGTTACCAAATAAGTATTATACTCTGGGCTTACAGAACGTTAAAATACCTAGGTTCCTCAAAGATAACCTCAATGCAAGTAAGTACAAAATCGGGCCTCAAAGGATATTGAGTATGTACCAACATAAATTAGAAAGTGAATACAACTGAACTTTTCGATATGCACACCCAAGACAAAACAGGGGACAGTTATAGAAACGCTTGTCTTACGAAGTGTGGGGGTACATAATTCCTAGAATGTTTACAACAAGAAAATCGGACGTTCAAAAAAATACTCGAAACCATATTAATTGGTCCACGTCAATTTGATGAAGTACATAAAAGAATAAACAATGCATGGATGAATTCATTTGTATGAATACATTTATTCTCGTGTAATGCCACTAAGACTCGAACGGCTACTGTGAGTCAAAGAATATTTTAGAAGGAAGCAGAAGTCCAATCTTTAACAGGAAACAAGGAATAAACCTCTACTCCTGTTCAAATGTCCGGGAAGGTGCGTGGACTGGATGATATTATTCGATGGTATTAACATAACACTACAAATCGAAATAATATTTACAAAAAATGAATTTCTCGTTTCTTTTTAATGTAGATAGAATTATAATCGCATTTCATCCGTGTTAGGCAAATAAATTTTCAGACATACAAATCAAATTTTCCACATGAAAAAATGAAATATAGAAACAACTATAATTCTTAATACAAAACTGCTTTCTGAAATTCCTTAAATACACTAAGTTAAAAGACTGTAATACAATTTTTAAAAAAAATACCACTGCCAGTAGTTGCAAAAACCTAAAAATGACTAGGTCGTTGAGTCGAATCATTTAAATTATCTTATTTTCGTACAAATTATGTCTATAGTGAGTTTATCAGATTGACATAATTATGGAGAAATGCCACCCATGTTTATAGATTCATAAACCACTTTAGTTAAATCTAAGATATTCTTGAAAAATTCTTCTTAACACAAAATGAGAAATTATAATTAAAAGAAAAATATATTTTAAGCGATAAAGTGAACCGTTCAGTAGTAACTTCAATAAAACAGAAGTTATAATGTTTACTAGAAAAGTAATTTAAAAGATTGACAAATGAAGTACAAGTAAAATTCACAAATATTTCTAATATGACTGTTATCTATCAATTTCAAACGCGATTCTTTTTTTTACTGTATTTGGATTTTTTTTTTTTTTGCAACACGCTTGCGCATGTTGAAATCATCACAGTATTTAAATTGTTAAAGTTATTGCTAACATTTTTGTCGAAATTTACAAATTCTACTTTTCGTTCAATTTCGCAAACCAATCGATGAAATATAAAAACTTAAAGAAAATATATGCAAAAAACAATATAGCATTTTTATTAAGTATTTGTTATTTTAATCATTAATTTTTTTTAAATATTGGGAGTATTTTGCATATATTTTTGTATTGTATGTATTTTGTATAAAAAAACGTAATGAAACGTTATTGTACTAAGCTACGCCCCCTCTAGTAAAACCATCTGTACTTTGTACCCCCTTATCTGTTTGCACTTCTCCCTAAAATTTGGTTTCGATCGGTCAATGTATGGCTATTTTAGACAGTGTCACGGACGGACTAACGGAAGTCACATAATTGTATATATAGATAGATTAAATAAATTATGTTAACTACTCATGAATATTTAAGAATTATAATCAAAATATAAATGCTACTTTCTGTTAATATTAGAAAGACCTAACTGAAACTTCACAGACATATGTGGAAAGAGGGTTTTAGGGAATATGAAACTCGCAAGACGTACATAGGAAAACAGCAGGTAACCTACTTAATGTGTTTATGTGAATAGATAGAACAATGAGCGGAAGTGATGAAGAGATAGAGCAACAAAAGTTAAGAAGATGTGAAGAGCTATGAATACCTACGTCCTGGAAGGACACAGCATATATAAGAATAAGGTTCTCTATAGATTTCTGCCAAAGTCCATAAATACGGATGTATTTTTCTCGCCATATATATATATATATATATATATATATATATATATATATATATATATATATATATCTGTTTCTTTTAAAGTAATCTCTTCTTGATATGGGTCACCATTTTCTCCGTTTTCATTTTATTTTTCTTAGCAATACTTGGTCATGTCCGATAGTGCTTTGTCTTTGTGGTACTTGTTTCTTCATCCATTTACCCAAATAGTTAAGTAGATTACTTCCTACTTTTCACTGATTCCTCATTGTGTTTACAAAGTTTCAGCTGTCTATCTGATTGCCAACAATTCTTTTTATAGTTTCTATTCTTATTGTTCTGTTTTCTCATTGTCAACATACTCTATCGATTGTATTATAAACATCCGTCAGTAGAACTGCATCTAGTTTTCTTCTAGTCTTTTCTTCATACGAGCACTTTCTTTTTTTATACCGCAATTTTTAATTCCCTTACTACCTTGCCCAGTTTCTCAAAAAGTATCTTTCGCTGTTTCTATGCGCCTCTTATTAACAGCCCAGATAATTGAATTTCCACATCTGCTTCATCTTGATATCTTTGTAACATCTTGATATCTTTATAACACAAGTTTTAGGCTACCCGTCTTACGACGAACGACGACTTTGTCAAATAGAACTTTCTGTTTTCCTTCTGAAGACGTCACCAGCTCAGTATATTTTGGCGTAAGCTGTAATCAGGGTAATTTGCAGTTCGCAAATATATATACGTAATAATTAAAAATAAACATTCCTTTTACATTATTTACATTGTCCGGGCTACTGTCCTCATATACATATATATATATATAGTGTCACAGGTACACACACACACATATATATATATATATATATATATATATATATATATATATATATTATCAAAGGAATCTGTGTATACGGAGGTGTGAGCGGGGGTTCCTCACACATCATCTTCTTATAGTCTGGGTCCAGAACACTTCCCCACCTCTAATATCGCTAAGAAATATTGGTATTAACGAGCCGGCCTCTCTTCTTCTTCTTCTTCTTCTTCTCTCTCCTTTTCCTTCCCTTCATTTGTCTCTTTCTTTCTCCGTCCCCACTGCCTTCGTTTCTTTACTTGTATATGCAAGACCCTCGCTGGTAGAGACCGGCCCTTGTTACTAGGTGGAAATAGATCAAACAGCCGATGAGGTCAAAGACGCGAAGAAACGATCACGAGATTGATCGGAAGGGCAACACTTGGACAACCAAGTCTAGTTAGTTGCGATCAGAAACACAAACGAGAAGCCTCGTCAACAATACTTCTGGTCCCGGTGGAAAGATGGAGAAAAGGCTGTAAATTCTATAGCCGAGCTTTCAATATGAAAAGAACTTAAAGCAGTGGACCGAAATATATATGACCAGTTAATACCCATCGGATACATTTGACCGATGGACATTTAACTGAATGAACATTTAGCCGAAAATGTAGTGGCGTACTTGCATGTATGTCAAACTCTTTATCGTAATGTGCTACATATATTTATATTTATTTACTGTTTTAATTTATAATTTTTCGATTATTTTTTTTGACAGGCTTTTTTTTTTAATTATTTTCTTTATATTATATTTTACTTCAAATATTACTGTAAATGATAAGTATTTTGAGAAAAAGCTCATTTTACTACAGCAAAAACCTTAAGATCTTTCAATTTCGATTTTAATGATCATTATCTTAAAGGGATAAACTAGCTTTTATCTTATTGTTAAATACGAATTTAAATATTTACGTGCTACATTTTACCAAAATGCACTCAATTATTTTATAAATACTAATTTCCATAAACAAATATAGAAATGAGAAAACTTTTAAAATTAAATTTAAATTTAGTAAATTGATCACATAAAATTCAGCGGTAATTATTAGTTCTATTCTACCTTATAATGCTGCTAATGAAATTACTTAAAGTATTGCTTCTTAGTTGGTAATAAAATATATGTGGTCGTAATGATATATATATATATATATATATATATATATATATATATATATATATATATATATATATATATATATATATTACAACCATATATATATATATATAGGTCAGAGTTGAATCAAACCAAAAAATATAATTAAAGATTTCGTCCTCTGAAGTGTGTGTGTGTTTGACGAAGGATGATTGAGAAGAATGGTGCGGGGAGAGATATTTTGTACAGATTATAATATCATTAATTTTGCATAATTTAATCTAATTAGAATGAAAATAAAAATAAATGTCAGTCTATATATTTCTTTTTTTCTGCCTGTATCGAACATTCGTTCTTTTCCTTCCCCTCTATCGCACATATATGGCACATTCGTTCTATTCCTGCCTCTCTATCGCACATCTATCGCACATTCGTTCTCTTCCTTCCTCTTTATCGCACATGTATTGCACATTCGTTCACTTCCTCCCTCTCTATCGCACATGTACCACACATTCGTTCTATTCCTTCTTCTCTATGGCACATGTATCGCACATTCTTTCTCTTCCTCCCTCTCTATCTCACATGTACCACACATTCGTTCTATTCCTTCTTCTCTATGGCACATGTATCGCACATTCTTTCTCTTCCTCCCTCTCTATCTCACATGTACCACACATTCGTTCTATTCCTTCTTCTCTATGGCACATGTATCCGCACATTCTTGCTCTTCCTCCCTCTCTATCGCAAATGTACCGCACATTCGTTCTATTCCTTCTTCTCTATGGCACATGTATCCTTTTCTTGCTCTTCCTCCTCTCTATCGCACATGTACCACACATTCGTTCTATTCCTTCTTCTCTATGGCACATGTATCGCATTCTTTCTCTTCCTCCCTCTCTATCTCACATGTACCACACATTCGTTCTATTCCTTCTTCTCTATGGCACATGTATCGCACATTCTTGCTCTTCCTCCCTCACTATCGCACATGTACCGCACATTCGTTCTATTCCTTCTTGTCTATGGCACATGTATCCACATTCTTTTCTCTTCCTTCCTCCTCTATCTCACATGTACCACACATTCGTTCTATTCCTTCTTCTCTATGGCACATGTATCGCACATTCTTGCTCTTCCTCCCTCTCTATCTCACATGTACCGCACATTCGTTCTATTCCTTCTTCTCTATGGCACATGTATCGCACATTCTTGCTCTTTCTCCCTCTCTATCGCACATGTACCACACATTCGTTCTATTCCTTCTTCTCTATGGCACATGTATCGCACATTCTTTCTCTTCCTCCCTCTCTATCTCACATGTACCACACATTCGTTCTATTCCTTCTTCTCTATGGCACATGTATCGCACATTCTTGCTCTTCCTCCCTCTCTATCGCACATGTACCGCACATTCGTTCTATTCCTTCTTCTCTATGGCACATGTATCGCACATTCGTTCTCTTTCTGACTCTCTATCACACATGTATCGAACATTCGTTCTCTTCCTGCGTCTCTATCGCACATGTATCGCACATTCGTTCTATTCCTTCTTCTCTATGGCACATTCCTCCTCTCCTCTCTATCGCACATGTACCACACATTCGTTCTATTCCTTCTTCTCTATGGCACATGTATCGCACATTCTTTCTCTTTCTCCTCTCTATCGCACATGTACCACACATTCGTTCTATTCCTTCTTCTCTATGGCACATGTATCGCACATTCTTTCCTCCCTCTCTATCCTTCTCTGTTCCTTCTTCTCTATGGCACATGTTCGCACATTCTTTCTCTTCTTCTCTATCTCTACCACACATTTCGTTCTATTCCTTCTTCTCTATGGCACATGTATCCCTTCATTCTTGCTCTTTCTCCCTCTCTATCCTTTTTGTACCACACATTCGTTCTGTTCCTTCTTCTCTATGGCACATGTATCGCACATTCTTTCTCTTCCTCCCTCTCTATCTCATGTACCCACACATCGTTCTATTCCTTCTTCTCTATGGCACATGTCGTTCTATTCTTGCTTCTCCCCTCTCTATCGCACATGTACGACATTTCGTTCTATTCCTTCTTCTCTATTCACATGTATCGCTTCTTTCTCCCTCCTCTCTATCGCATGTACCACACATTCGTTCTATTCCTTCTTCTCTATGGCACATGTATCCTTCTTTCTCTTCCTATCTCTATCGCACATGTACCGCATTCATTCTATTCCTTCTTCTCTATGGCACATCCATTCTTTCTATCTCTATCTCACATGTACCACACATTCGTTCTATTCCTTCTTCTCTATGGCACATGTATCGCACATTCTTTCTCTTCCTCCCTCTCTATCTCACATCCACACATTCGTTCTATTCCTTCTTCTCTATCTATTCCTTCCTCCCTCTCTATCTCACATGTACCACACATTCGTTCTATTCCTTCTTCTCTATGGCACATGTATCGCACATTCTTTCTCTTCCTCCCTCTCTATCGCACATGTACCACACATTCGTTCTATTCCTTCTTCTCTATGGCACATGTATCGCACATTCTTTCTCTTCCTCCCTCTCTATCGCACATGTACCACACATTCGTTCTATTCCTTCTTCTCTATCGCACATGTATCGCACATTCTTCTCTTTCTCTTCCTCTCATGTATCCATTCGTTCTCTTCCTCCTCTCTATCGCATGTATCACACATCCGTTCTCTTCCTTCTTCTCTATATCACATGTTTTTCACATCGTTCTCTTTTCCTTCTTTCACATTCCTTCCCTCCATCTCTATCTCACATGTACCGCACATTCGTTCTCTTCCTTCCACTCTATCGCACATGTGTCGCATTCGTTCTCTTCCTCCTCTCTATCTCACATGTACCGCACATTCATTCTATTCCTTCTTCTCTATCGCACATGTATCGCGCATTCGTTCTCTTCCAGCCTCTCTATCGCATGTCGCACATTCGTTCTCTTCCTCCTCTCTATCGCACATGTACCGCACATTCGTTCTATTCCTTCTTCTCTATATCGCAGCGTTCTCTTCCAGTCTCTATCGCACATTCGTTCTCGTTCTCCTCATGTATCGCCTCTCTATCGCATCATTTATCACACATTCGTTCCTTCCTGCCTCTCTATCACGCATGTATCGCACATTCGTTCTCTTCCTTCTTCTTTATCATGACAAATTCTTCTCTTCCTGCGTCTCTATCGCACATGTATCACACATTCGTTCTTTTCTTCCTCTTTATCGCCTCTCACATTCGTTCCCTTCTTGCCTCTCTATCGCATCGTTCGTTATCTTCCTTCCTCTCCGCACATGTATCTTCCTTCGTTCTCTTCCTGCCTCTCTATCGTTTTGTATCGCACATTCGTTATCTTCCTTCCTCTCTATCGCACATGTATCGCACATTCGTTCACTTCCTGCCTCTCTATCTCACATGTATCGCACATTCGTTATCTTCCTGCCTCTCTATCGCACATTATCGCACATCTTCACTTCCTGCCTCTCTATCTCTATCGCACATTCGTTTCTCTTCCTGCCTCTCTGTCGCACATGTATCGTTCTCTTCCTGCCTCTCTATCGCACATGTATCGCACATTCGTTCTCTTCCTTCCTCTCTATCGCACATGTATCGCACATTCGTTCTCTTCCTGCCTCTCTATCGCACATGTATCGCACATTCGTTCTCTTCCTGCCTCTCTATCGCCCTTATCGCACATTCGTTATCTTCCTTCCTCTCTATCGCACATTCGTTCTCTTCCTGCCTCTCTATCGCACATGTATCGCACATTCGTTCTCTTCCTGCCTCTCTATCGCACATGTATCGCACATTCGTTCTCTTCCTGCCTCTCTATCGCACATGTATCGCACATTCGTTCACTTCTTGCCTCTCTATCGCACACATTCGTTCTCTTCCTGCCTCTCTATCGCACATGTATCGCACATTCGTTCTCTTCCTTCTTCTTTATCGCACATGTATTACAAATTCGTTCTCTTCCTGCGTCTCTATCGCACATGTATCACACATTCGTTCTTTTCCTTCCTCTTTATCGCACATGTATCACACATTCGTTCCCTTCTTGCCTCTCTATCGCACATGTATCGCACATTCGTTATCTTCCTTCCTCTCTATCGCACATTCGTTCTCTTCCTGTATCGCATTCGTTCTCTTCCTTCGTTCTCCTCCTCTCTATCGCACATGTATCGCACATTCGTTCTCCTTCTATCGCACATATCGCCCATTCGTTATCTTCCTTCCTCTCTATCGCACATGTATCGCCCATTCGTTCTCTTCCTTCCTCTCTATCCTTTTATGTATCGTTCGTTCTTCTTCCTGCCTCTCTATCGCACATGTATCGCACATTCGTTATCTTCCTTCCTCTCTATCCTTTGTGTATCTTCCTTGCCTCTCTATCGCACATGTATCGCATTCGTTCTCTTCCTGCCTCTCTATCGCACATGTTCTCTTCCTGCCTCTCTATCGTATCGCATTCGTTCTCTTCCTGCCTCTCTGTCGCACATGTATCGCACATTCGTTCTCTTTCCTGCCTCTCTATCGCATTCGTTCTCTTCCTGCCTCTCTATCGCACATTATCGTTCCTTCCTTCTTGCCTCTCTATCGCACATGTATCGCACATTCGTTATCTTCCTTCCTCTCTATCGCACATGTATCGCACATTCGTTCTCTTCCTGCCTCTCTATCGCACATGTATCGCATTCGTTCTCTTCCTTCCTTATCTTCGCTTCCATTCGTTCTCTTCCTGCCTCTCTATCATGTATCGCACATTCGTTCTCTTCCTGCCTCTCTATCGCATGTATCGTTTTTTTCGTTCTCTTCCTGCCTCTCTATCGCACATGTATCGCACATTCGTTCACTTCTTGCCTCTCTATCGCACATGTATCACATTCGTTCTCTTCCTCTTCCATTCGTTCTCTTCCTCTTTATCGCACATGTATCCTTTTCATTCGTTTTCTCTTCCTTCCTCTCTATCGCACATGTATCGCAATTTCGTTTCTCTTCCTGCCTCTCTATCGCACATGTATCGCCCATTCGTTCTCTTCCTGCCTCTCTATCGCATGTATCGCACATTCGTTCTCTTCCTGCCTCTCTATCGCACATGTATCGCACATTCGTTCTCTTCCTGCCTCTCTATCGCACATGTATCGTACATTCGTTCTCTTCCTTCCTCTCTATCGCACATGTATTCGTTCATTTCTTGCCTTCCTATCTCTCTATCGCACATTCGTTATCTTCCTGCCTCTCTATCGCATGTATCGTACATTCGTTCTCTTCCTGCCTCTCTATCGCACATGTATCCCACATTCGTTCGTTCCTTCTCTCTATCTGCCTCTCTCTATCGCACATGTATCGTACATTCGTTCTCTTCCTGCCTCTCTATCACACATATGTATCGCACATTCGTTCCTTCCTTCCTCTCTATCGCACATGTATCGCACATTCGTTCACTTCCTGCCTCTCTATCTGTATCCTCTCTTCGTCGCCTCTCTATCGCACATTTATCGCACATTCGTTCTCTTCCTCTCTCTATCGCACATGTATCGTACATTCGTTCTCTTCCTGCCTCTCTTCGTTCTCTTCCTTCCTCCTCTATCCTTTTGTATCGTACTTTCGTTCTCTTCCTGCCCCTCTATCGCACATGTATCGCACATTCGTTCTCTTCCTCCTCTCTATCGCACATGTATCCTTTTTCGTTCTCTTCCTGCCTCTCTATCTCTATCGCACATGTATCGCACATTCGTTCTCTTCCTTCCTCTCTATCGCATGTATCGTACTTTCGTTCTCTTCCTGCCCCTCTATCGCACATGTATCGCGCTCTTCCTTCCTCTCTATCGCACATGTATCGCACTTTCGTTCTCTTCCTGCCTCTCTATCGCACATGTATCGCACATTCGTTCACTTCCTGCCTCTCTATCGCACATGTATCGTACATTCGTTCTCTTCCTGCCCCTCTATCGCACATGTATCGCACATTCGTTCTCTTCCTGCCTCTCTATCGTACATGTATCGCACATTCGTTCTCTTCCTTCCTCTATCGCACATGTATCGCCCGTTCGTTCTCTTCCTGCCTCTCTATCGCACATGTATCGTACATTCATCTCTCTTCCTGCCTCTCTATCGCACATCTTCGTTCTCTTCCTGCCTCTCTGTCGCACATGTATCGCACATTCGTTCTCTTCCTGCCTCTCTATCGCACATGTATCGCCCATTCGTTCACTTCCTGCCTCTCTATCTCACATGTATCACACATTCGTTCTCTTCCTGCCTCTCTATCGCACATGTATCGCACATTCTTTCTCTTCCTTCCTCTCTATCGCACATGTATCGCACATTCGTTCTCTTCCTTCCTCTCTATCGCACATGTATCGTACATTCGTTCTCTTCCTGCCTCTCTATCGCACATGTATCGCCCATTCGTTCTCTTCCTGCCTCTCTGTCGCACATGTATCGCACATTCGTTCTCTTCCTGCCTCTCTATCGCACATGTATCGCCCATTCGTTCACTTCCTGCCTCTCTATCTCACATGTATCGCACATTCGTTCTCTTCCTGCCTCTCTATCGCACATGTATCGCACATTCGTTCTCTTCCTTCCTCTCTATCGCACATGTATCACACATTCGTTCTCTTCCTTCCTCTCTATCGTACATGTATCGCACTTTCGTTCTCTTCCTGCCTCTCTATCGCACATGTATCGTATTCGTTCTCTTCCTTCCTCTCTATCGTACATTATCGTTCTTCTCTTCCTGCCTCTCTATCGCACATGTATCGCACATTCGTTCTCTTCCTTCCTCTCTATCGCACATGTATCGTACATTCGTTCTCTTCCTGCCTCTCTATCGCACATGTATCGCACATTCGTTCTCTTCCTGCCTCTCTATCGCACATGTATCGCACATTCGTTCTCTTCCTTCTTCTTTATCGCACATGTATCCTTCCCATTCGTTCTCTTCCTGCCTCTCTATCGCACATGTATCGCCCATTCGTTCTCTTCCTGCCTCTCTATCGCACATGTATCGCACATTCGTTCTCTTCCTTCCTCTCTATCGCACATGTATCGCCCATTCGTTCTCTTCCTTCCTCTCTATCGCACATGTATCGCACATTCGTTCTCTTCCTTCCTCTCTATCGCACATGTATCGTACATTCGTTCTCTTCCTGCCTCTCTATCGCACATGTATCGCCCATTCGTTCTCTTCCTTCCTCTCTATCGCACATGTATCGCCCATTCTTTCTCTTCCTTCCTCTCTATCGCACATGTATCGCCCATTCGTTCTCTTCCTGCCTCTCTATCGCACATGTATCGCCCATTCGTTCTCTTCCTGCCTCTCTATCGCACATTTTTCGTACATTCGTTCTCTTCCTGCCTCTCTATCGCACATGTATCGCACATTCGTTCTCTTCCTGCCTCTCTATCGCACATGTATCCTTGTTCGTTCTCTTCCTTCCTCTCTATCGCACATGTATCGCCCATTCTTTCTCTTCCTTCCTCTCTATCGCACATGTATCGCACATTCGTTCTCTTCCTGCCTCTCTATCGCACATGTATCGCACATTCGTTCTCTTCCTTCCTCTCTATCGCACATGTATCGCCCATTCGTTCTCTTCCTGCCTCTCTATCGCACATGTATCGCACATTCGTTCTCTTCCTTCCTCTCTATCGCACATGTATCGCCCATTCGTTCTCTTCCTGCCTCTCTATCGCACATGTATCGCACATTCGTTCTCTTCCTGCCTCTCTATCGCACATGTATCGCCCATTCGTTCTCTTCCTTCCTCTCTATCGCACATGTATCGCCCATTCTTTCTCTTCCTTCCTCTCTATCGCACATGTATCGCCCATTCGTTCTCTTCCTGCCTCTCTATCGCACATGTATCGCCCATTCGTTCTCTTCCTGCCTCTCTATCGCACATGTATCGCACATTCGTTCTCTTCCTTCCTCTCTATCGCACATGTATCGTACATTCGTTCTCTTCCTGCCTCTCTATCGCACATGTATCGCACATTCGTTCTCTTCCTGCCTCTCTATCGCACATGTATCGCCCATTCGTTCTCTTCCTTCCTCTCTATCGCACATGTATCGCCCATTCGTTCTCTTCCTTCCTCTCTATCGCACATGTATCCTTTTGTTCGTTCTCTTCCTGCCTCTCTATCTTACATGTATCGCCCATTCGTTCTCTTCCTTCCTCTCTATCCTTTTGTATCGCACATTCGTTATCTTCCTTCCTCTCTATCGCACATGTATCGTACATTCGTTCTCTTCCTGCCTCTCTATCGCACATGTATCGCACATTCGTTCTCTTCCTGCCTCTCTATCGCACATGTATCGTACATTCGTTCTCTTCCTTCCTCTCTATCGCACATGTATCGTACATTCGTTATCTTCCTTCCTCCCTATCGATCGTATTTTCTGTCACTCTCTCACATCTTTTCATATCTTTCTATCATAAGTAAAATTATCAGCGATATCAGTGAAAAATTCTTTTGTGAACGACTAATATATTTCGGCTATTTTCACAGTACTGTTAACATATTCTAAACTAACTCGGATTTCACTTAAATACTAATCTACGATTATGCTACATTTCAGATGGATTAAGTGAGCAGTTTTAATATAAATTGTACATCATCTGATTTACATCGAACTTAGTTGCTGTGATGTGTTATTTTTAATCTAAATCCCAATCCTATATCCAATCCTTCAGTTGCACTTTTTAATCAACGACATAAATCTCTTTGAATGATCAAGTTGCTTTGTACATTTTAACACACCATTTACTGTCTCACATCAGTCTCACTACAAATATTGATTTTATTATGCAAAATCATGACTTGATTTTATTCACATTTCTAAAACTCATATTTATTTTATCTTTTAATATTTCGAGATTTTATATTTTTTGCAAGATTCGATTCGACTTGATTTTAAAACTTCTATAATCCGATTAAGTTTCCCCGCTCACACCCAGATTTTAGAATGTTGAATTTTCTTTCGAGGCTGCTATGAGCAATATTTCACTAATTATTAGTAACATAACAACAATAAAAATGTTTTTGTTTGAATAATGTAGTTCACATACACTCATTAATATCCTTACCATGATTTTAACTTCGACTACCATCATTATCATCGATGTGGACGGTTATGGCTCTCCCAGCAACTACAGGGGTAAGAGACAGAAGGTAACAAAAATAACACTGCCTCAGAAACCACAGCAACAAGAGTAACAAAATGCACACGGGACCGACTTCACAAGACACCGTCTCTTGCCCTTTGCTGGTTTTACCCCAGCTTTTATTGACATGAAGCATTTTACAAAAGACCCGAATCTTGACCAGTTGCAAAGTGGCCAAACTCTCCCGCTGCTGACGGGAAAAAAAAACCCAAATATAATTGGGGTGGATCACTTTCGTCGAGTCCTTCTCCGAAATACGACTGGTTCGTATTCCTCCACCTCGTCCCTATGTGATTCTTCCTCCGTGGAATCATCTCGACTATCCCCGCTCACGAGGATTTCATTCTCACTACTTGTTGAAGATCGTGAGTTACCACTGTCTGTGCAAATATTAACGGTCCCTCAGCATGACCGCATTCTGCCACTGATCGTCTCCACATTTACGTGCTTTCCGGTCCACAACCGGCATCCGTCTGCACTAACGATCGACCAAAGAGCAGCCAGAGTCAATGAGAGCTGGTCACCACTCCCCATCGACCAATACACTGACTATACGCAGCGCTGCATTTATATCTGGCAATGAGACTGTTGTTGATGCCTATTCCCCTGACCTAGCTTGTCACCGCGATAGCAACATATGGCTTTGTTTCCTTGCTGGATCCCACTTTGCCAGTTCGTCGATTCAAACGATATCTAGCCTAGTGATTATCACTAGCACATCTGTGGCAGACGATATAGCTCTGCGTATGATTGGCAGAAGTCAAATCTATACCTAGTTTCTCGGCTGCCACAATCACTTCCACCGCCAGTGTATCATGTATTATGGCTCTTGCCCGGTCTAATAGCTCGTTGACATCCAGTGCATCCATTTGAGAAGAAGCACGAAGCAGCTCCAATTGCACATGCAAATCAACGGTCAGACACCCCTCCATACAAGGTTGACAGCCTACGGAGTTCTACCAATTAGACGTCGGTAGATTCGTTTGAATTCAAGCGTTTAGCTACAAACTGATCGTATGCTACGAATGGATCTGCAGCAAAGACAACGTACAGTGCATCTTTGTACTGTCTTCATCTTTTCTTTGTTCCTTGCTGAGTTGTTGGAACACGACAAACTCGTCAATCGAAGATGCAGAACGCTAGCAATGTTCATCACGCCACGCATATTCAGCCTTTTCAAACCATTCAACGATAGTACAACACCGGTCTGAACCATTAATTTCAGGTATTAGCTTCAGGTGGAGCTTGCCGTCAACCATGAGTGTCGAAATGGCTTGTTGTAATGTAATCAAGGAGTATGCTGAGATTGAGGCAAAAAACCTAACCGATTCATCTCCCAGCAACTACGGGCTTAATAGGCAGAGACAAGAGACGGAAGGTAACGAAAATTACACTGCCCCGGAAACCACAGCAACTTGAGGAACAAAATGCCCACGGTAAACCCTATCTTGCTGACTGCTAGTTTTCACCCAGCTTTTATTGGCTTTTATTGAAGAGTCATCTTTGTCTTACGTCCACTTCTATGTTTGTTAATTAATCAATTCATTTTTATCCGTATACAAGTACTACTTCTACAGAAAATAAATCTACATTTAACAAAATCAGCTCCAACATTATTAAAGTGAGATCAATTATTCAAATTATGACAGCAGATAGTTTTACAACGATGTGAACTTCAGAAGAATTGAAACTTTAATCATTCTATAGTTGTTTTCGTATATTTTGTAGAGGTGGTTTCTGGAACATAATTCAGTTTTATTCTAAAGTTGCACTGAACAAACATTTAGTAACACCCATTTTCATCATTTTTCAAATATTTAAAATCCACTTCCACACACTCACACACACGCACACATACACACGCACACACACACACACACACACACACATATAGCTATCTTGAAACCAGTTTTTGTTAGAATCACTGAAAACCCCTTTAAGTTATTCAGCTAGAAGAAGAACAGGTTAAAATCGTTTTGTGTTAGCCGCACTGTCTTCCCAAACGAGCAATGGTGAGAGAAGATTATTCAGGCATTACCAACATTCATACTCTGGTTTCCATCTTCAACGTCCATTCAACAGCCATCAAGAGAACGGTGAATAAGTTTAAAAAAAGAGGGAACAGTAAAGATGAAAACTGGATCAGGAGGCCACACCAGGAAAAGGGGTCATCATTTCAACTTAGAGCTAAAGAGATCAATTAAAAAAGATCCAACTCAATTCATAAGATGTTTGTCACGTGAGAGAGGAGTTTCAGCTAGGACACTCTCAAGAGCAGTGAAGAAAGACTGAAATGTAAAACCTATGAGGTAGCTTGTTAATCCAGGATAAAAAGTTAGAGAGGATGAGATTATCTTGAATGATTTGGAAAATGATTCTGGAATAATCCATATATATTTTAACATTATTTCAATACTTCATGAGTTTCCGATTTTAGCTATGATTAATTAGTGATCAACATGTCATTTTCGTTTATGATCGATTTAATCACGATACTTACGTTAAGCTGAGAGAGTAATTATACATTCTTATTGCTCAGTGCAATACTGATATAAAACATCGGAGAATTCCAGTAAGATATATTTAATCATTTCTAACGGTTCAGCGCTTAATCTAACAATTGGACAATTTTTCTGTAACGCCCGGTATATATATATATATATATATATATATATATATATATATATATATATATATATATATATATATATATATAAAAAACTTATCTTAACCTACACAGCCTCGTTTCGTCGTCTGTTAGGCTTTATCAAGCATTTGCCTTGATAAAATCCCAATTTTTATGAAACGCACGGATAATATTTCCTTTTGTCTTTATTTCTATTGTCTTTTGACAGATATGCTTGATCAGAATTTTTTACATATCTATTAGGTACATCTACACAAAACGCGATGCCTAATGTTTAAAATGAATTTTTAAAAATAAGAATCTTTCTTGAAGCTTTTATTTTAGTTTTAATTTTAAGCTCGTAGATTAAATTTAATATTCTTGATGAGCAAAATATATTGCTTTATTTCAAAACTAATTTAAATTAAGTGGAAGGAGGTTTTTTTTTTTTTGCTGATTAGGTCCATTGTTAACTGTTTTTCATCGCAGTGTAATTTTCTTTATTAAAAACCGTCCTAAAATGAAATATAATTTTCTGAAACTTTATCTGAGGAATATTAGCTGAATTAAAGTATAATTAAACTGATTTAAAACAAATATTACTTAGTTCAAGTTTAAAATACAGTTTTATTTAAGGTGTTGACAGCTTGAATCCCAGATGGACGTTTGGTTATATTTGTAAAAATATTAATATAACGTGAGCGCCTTTTTTATATAATTTTGAAGTACTCAGTAAGTATAAAAGTTTAGGAAAATATTCTCCATAATCTAATGTTTTATTGAATTTGGCTTTAGATTTATTATAGTTATTGCTCTTATTTTCTGATAATGGCGTGTATGAACAGCCGTTTCTACAAACATCAGCACATAAAAAAATTCAAAATTCTTTATAAAATATTGTTGTTTGATTATTTGTACTAAGCTTGTCAGTTTATTATTAGTAAACATAAGTTTTACTTAATAACAATATCACTTAAAAGGGACAAAGTAATATAGAAATTTAAAAGATTTTAGACTTTAAATCATACTAATTAAAATTTTAAAAATGAAAACAATTCAATTTCATTATTCATTGAAAAACATTTTTTTTCTTAAAACAATAGTGCTCATAATATATCTTATTCATAAAAGCAATTTTTAAAGCTTTTCTAATTAAATAATGTCTTAGTCTAAGTGCATTTTTATTTTAGGATTCAGAGCAAATTTTTGGTGACTGATATTGCTGTTTTACAAAAAATAATATAAAATTTTTTACAAAAAATAACATAAAAATTTATATTAGTTAAAAGAAGTCCTCCTTGGAGGTCTGCTTTCAACTAATATAAATATTAAGAGGGATAAAATTTAATTTCTCGAAATTTCATAAAATTAAGTGGAGGGTAAGAGATTCAAAAAGAAAATGTACCAATATTTTCTAAAGAGAAAGTATTTCTAAAATCATTTAATAGATCCTGAAAGTTTCGTTAAAACCTGACAATTTGATTTTTGCAAAAATTTGCGAAACAGTGTGTTTTTCACCGCAAAAAGACGCTAAAATTTCTTATATTAATCTTTGTTATCTTTTATTTTTAAATGTTTAGTCTGTACATTTTGTGATCACACAGAGCCCTAATTATTATATGCATAGCATTTAGTTTAAGACGTCACTTTTCTAAAATTCTAATTCTAATCTCGTTATATTTACTTGTTTTCGTATTCTTCAACAGATATATTTTCATTTGATTGTACTGCTATATCTATGAGAAAAATTCGTTTGTAGTCTTCAATCACTATGCTTCATTCTATTAGTTTCCAGATGTCTGTCAGTATGAATAATAGTCCCAAAGAATAGTAACATGGCTTTCGGTGTCTGTTTCAGGGTAACGTTGCTTCCTGTAATACTAACATTTCCCAATGAATATACTGTCCAATCTTTTAGTGTTCTTTGTATTTTAGTATGCTGGACAACAATTGGACAACTAGACATTTAATAGTCAATAAACTCAGGTCATTTTTATTGCTCGTGTTGTGATCGCGTGTTGATCTCGCTAATATTATAAGGATTAATTATATTCTGGTATCTGTGATCTTTATCAATATTGACCTTATTAGAAATACCATATCGGTAGGCTGACACTTTGGCGAAAATCCCTTGAAATTTTAGAGAGATAATAAATATAAAATATTGTCAAATGCAACTTAATCACATTATTATATTTTTACAGTATCACTCTCTTTTCCCGAGAAGCTGAGGATTATTCGATATTATACAGATCTTTAGTTGCAAATTTCAAGCCTATACTTACAATATTACGATCTATTTTGTCTAAAAGAATAAGCTATCATAGTCTACAAATAAGGTCGAAAACTATTGATAAAAGAAGCATTTCTTTTCCACACGAAATTTCAAGTAGGATCTTTCATTATAAATGTAATTTATTCAAGATTACGTTTTAATCACTTTAATTGAACATTAACCAGTGAAAGGCTTAAATCAAAACAAAGCATAGTGAATAGCATAAAATGTTCAAATTCTAATTTGCAAGTTATGAAAATGAGTTTTACCTTTCAATTGCTAAGTGGAAATTTGAAGCCTCAATGCCTTAAAATACTTTATTCTATTTGTCCAAATGTTGACTTGTACGAAATTAAATTTTGAACTAAAACGTTCTTGTTACTTTGTTAGCCATGAATAAATTGTTACTTTATCAGCCATGAAGAAATTGTTACATTATTAGCTATGAATAAATTGTTACTTTGCCACCCAAGAAGAAACTGTTACTTCATCAGCCATGTATAGATTGTTACTTTATCAACCATGAATAAATAGTTACATTATCAGCCATGAATATATTGTTACTTTATCAGCCAGGAATAAATTGTTACGTTATCTGCCATGAATAAATTGTTATATTATCTGTCATGAATATATTGTTACTTTATCAGCCAGTTGAAGAAAATTACTTTTCATTTAGGGA